GGGGGCAGGGAGCTATCTCCTGCCCCCTAGTAGACAGCTGACAAGTAGCAGATACGGGTCCCTCCCAGCTGTCTACATGAGCACTATAGCACCATTATTAATGCCAAGTAAATTTGCTACTTGCATTAGGGAGATTTACTGTGAAATAAGCATGGGCACATGTAGACCTATGTGCTTACTTCACAGTAAATTATTCTAATTTGCCATTAAGCATCTCATGTAGATGCACCCACATTAGAGGTACTAAATTGAACATGCAGTAGCAAAGGCACATTAATGAACATGTAGACACAACCTCTGTGCCTTGGATCCTTATTACTAAAGTGGAATAGTAATTACTATTACTTTCCTGCTTCAGATTGTGAGCATAACTTCATCAAAGTTGGCAAGAGGTAAGGATTCTTGTGGGTAATATTTTTTTACTGAAAAGAGAAATTCCTAGGGGTAGCAGACAAGCAAATCATAGAAGAATGAATAGCTTGATTAGTGGAAAAATAAGATGTTTCAAAAGGAAAAAGTTGTTATCATGTGTAGTATGAAGAAAGATTATCCAGAGTCAAGTAGATTTATAGTATGCCATGCAGTCTGTGGCAGTGCATTTGCAGTGCCTGCCACGTTAAGGGCTGAGTCAAGCAGTCAGCAGGTACTTGATTGCAGCAGCCATTTTAAAACATTGGCTGCCTATATAAACACAGCAGTTGGCTGCTGGCAGCCAGACAGAAATGTCACCTGGCTGAAAGGCTGTATGAAACATCTCACAGGTAAGAGCAGGAGGCTCTTGGTCCTGGGCATGATCTAAAACTGCACCCTGCTGGGGATGGGTAGCCTGGTAGGGCTCTTAGTGGTGTGGGAGCCTTCAGGAAATGACAGGCCAGTTACCTCCATGGTGAAAAGTGAGGAGGGGTGCCTTAATCCCAGCCCCCATCTTTGGGTGGGCTTTGGAGGCAGTTGTGGGAGTAGTGGGGCCAGGCATGGCAAGTGGAGTGCCACCTGAGCCCAGCAAGGATACAAGACCCCAGAGGGGGTAGCGTCTCCACATGGGAGTAGTGGGGGCCAGGTACGCTCATGTGTAGGAGCCCAGCAGAGATGTAAGAACCCAGAGACCCCAGAGGGGGTAGTGTGGGGAGCATAGAGTGTGACCTTGCACAGAGTAGGGCTGAATGGGAGTAGGTCTGAAGGGCTGTGCATGATGGGGTCTGAGTAGGGCTGAATGGGAGTAGGCTTGATGGGCGCTCCCAGGGGCATGTTGAGTAGGGCCAAACTGGGAGTAAGCCTGAAGGGCAGTGCAAGGGCCAGCCCCCGGAGTAGTTGATAGTGAGGATGAGGAGAAGACCCCAAGGTTGGGGTGTGATGTAGAAGCCCTAGAGTGGGTGCAGGAGAAACCCCAGGAGTGGGGTGTAGGCCAAGGTATGTCTTAGATGCCTGAGGCTTTAGTTGGGCCAGAGGCTGAGTAGGGTGGCTCAACCAAAGAGTTAGGGGTGAGTCCTGACCCTGGTAAATCCTCCACTGCAAGGAGGTTGAGTGTGGGTCAAAAGGAAGACCTAAAGGTTAAGCACAATGACCTGCTGCTCCAGGGAGGGAGTGAGCATTCCTTTTGAGGACCTGGAGCACCAGCTGTGGTGTAGATTATGATTGCATAATGTGGATGCCATCTGCAAGGCATGGGCTGAGGTGTAGGGGAGGTTTGGAGCTGCAGATAGTACCCCTCTGGCATCGGGGCATGTAATGGGTAGTCTTCTACATTTTCCACCAGTTCATGGGAACAGCAATGTTATGGCAGGAGAGACTGGATGAACTGCACCATACACGGGTGGGTGGGCTGACATGAGGCCCGGACCCGAGCGTGCCCCCTGTCACACAGTCAATATCAGTATCTAATCCTTGGTTCTTAGTGTCCAGCCAGCTTCTTTTTTTTTTTGTTCTTAGGCTCAAAGATTATGATATACTGAGATGTTATGCTGATGAGGATTATATTCCTGAGGTAGATGTCTCTACAGAGGCAGACATGTAGTTGTTTGTTATAAACATGTCCATCAATGTTGGTGGAATACTTAGAATTTGAAGTGCATCTCCTTTGCTTTTCTCATTATTTTTCTCTTCTAATAAAGATTTTACTTTTGTCTTGTGGCAGCCACTACTCAGAAGATGTCTGTGTATTAGATGCAGTTTTGGAACGTTCCTTGACGAAGCCCAGCTGTCAGTATTTAGCTGAAAAATGCCTCAAAGAGCAGCCACTCCATTTCTTGCATTCTGGCCCCTGCCGTGCTGACACTAACCTAAAATGGCCTATTGAGAGGACAAAACTTTCCACAAGTAGCTCAAAGAAAGTGGCCTGTGGATATGACACGTGCTATGACTGGGAAACATGTTCAGGTATGACTTCTGCGTGCTGTGATTTGCCTTGTCCTCAAACAGTAACAAGAAAATGCAGGGGCTGCTTCACCATTCTTGGAGTGAGATTTATAGCCCTTTTGATTCGCATCTGAACTACCCTTAATGAAAAGAGGCAGGGGGAGTTTTCTTTTTACCCCTGGTGTGACTCAGGTCTGCATTTTACTGGGCATGTCTACACAATATGCTGACTGCACGGTAGCCAAATAATACTGTGCAGTAGCACATCACAGCACTGCCAGTGCTAGTATGCTACTGCACAGTATTATTCAGCTACTGAACAGTAGCATCACTTAAATGCAGTAGCACCAGCAAACACCTTTTTATTTAGTACTTGTATAATCAGGAGCTAAATAATCAAGTACTAAATAAATGCGCAGTAACCACTGCGTAGTAACATCTTGTGTAGACACGCCCACTATCTTTCAGTTGCAAATGGTTTAGATCTGGCTACACCAGCTGTATTTCATATGGAAACCCTCTTAACAAGAGAATCAGTCAGATATCCATTCTCTGTGTATTGTCATAGTTTCACAAGGGAGACAGACTTAAAGACAAAGGAAAATATTATCTAGTTGTGATTTCCCAGCACCTTGTATCCAAAAATCACAAAGGGTGCATCCACACAAATGCACACGTATGGGTTGCAGCATCTCAAAGTCCTTTGAGATGTTGCAAGAGGCACATGTGGGAACAAAAATATTCTCTGCATGGCTGATTTGCAGTGTGGGGGCAAAATTAGACCCCTAGATACCCAGGGGTCAAAAAAACCATGGGGGGGAGGGGGGAAGCGGGGCAGGGCACAGTCCCCAACTGTGCCCTGAGGCAACCGGAGGCTCAGTCCTCCATAGGGGTAGTGTGGCAGGGCACTGTTTGTGCCTACCACTTTAAGGGCCTGGCAGCTCCAGGTGCCTCATGAGGGCAGCCATTTTGAATCTGGGGCTGTCCATATAAACAGGGCAGTTTGGCTGCTGGAAGCCAGGCAACAACACTGCCTGGCCAGAGGGCTGCTGGTGTCATCTAGAGGTAAGGGAGGAGGTGTAGAAGATGGTAAGGAGGCTTCTGGTCCTGGGTACAACCTAAAACTGCACCCTGGCGGGAGTGGGCGGCCAGGTGGGGCTCCCAGTAGTGTGGGAGCCCCCAAGAAATGCCAGGCCACTTACCACCCTGGTGAAAGGTGGGTCTGGAAGGGGGACTCCAGGAAGAAGAGTGTGAGGCCATGGACTTGCGAACCTGTCTGACATTTCCCCCAACTGGTCAATGCTGGGGCCAGGACCGGAAGGGTCAAAGGGCCAAGGGGCCCACCTCAAGGAACACCCAAGAGCTGAGGGCCTAGGGTTCCAACTGGCCTGGAGGTGGGCCAGGGGGGAGCAGCTCAGGGACCCACATTTGCCGAGGATGAAGGCAGAATAGGCCACATGAAGAGAGGAATACAGGAGGGGTTCAATAGTAGGATTCTGGGGCCCAGCGTGAGGCCGGTGATGATAAGAACATCTAGATGCCATCTGCGAGGCTTGGGCTGCAGTGTAGGGGAGGAAAGGAGCTGCAGATACCACCCCTGGCATTGGGGCAGGAAATGGGCAGCCTCCCACTTAATTACATCATTTAACTAATTAACAACAGGACATGGTGGGCGAGAAGGCAGGGGGTTAGCCCAGAAACAGGTGGGTGGGCCACGGTTAAATCAGCGCTGAGCTGGCCCCCTGTTACAGGTAGCCAGCCAGAGTGTCTCTATGGCTGGCCCTCACCCCGGTGCTGAAGCACACTGCCTGCCTGTGCAGCGGAGGCAGTATGCCAGCTGCAGGGGGGTGGACCTGGGCTCCTGACGGTAAGAAGTGGGTGGGTGGGGGCTGGAGGAGGGGATTAGGGACCATAGGGGGAGCCCTGCTGGCCCTACCTACTTCTGCAGACCCCAGATAGGGCCCTGCCTGGTGCTATCCCCCACCTGCCCCTCCAAGCCTCCCATCACTGCCCTGCCTGCCTCAACTGCTGCCCACTCTGAGCCCCCCGATAGCTGCCCCCCTGATGGCTGCCCTGCCCAGCCCAGCCCTTGCCTGTCCCCCCAGCCCCCCTGATCGCTGCTCCACCCGGCCCCATCCCCCACTTGCTCCCTGAACCCTCCCCAATTGCTGTCCTGCCCACCTCCATCCCTTGCTCCCCAAGCCCCCCCAGTCACTGCCCCACATGGCCCCATCCCCTGCCTGCCCCCTGAGTTGCTCCAATTGCTGTCCTGCCCAATCCCAGGATCCTGGAAATTAAAGCCCTGCATTCACCAGCAGTAGCAGCTGCCATCGGGGTCACTGGGGCCTTGTGGCAGAGCGCCCCCCCGTCCAACACGGGGCCTGGGTGACAACTGCAGTGGCCCTAGCTGCCTGACAGTGCATAGAGCTGTGCAGTGCCCTGCTCACCCTGGATGCACCTGTGCAATATGGCAGTGGCAATGCAGGTGTTAGGCAGCCCGGGTTAGGCCCTACTGCCCCACACTGGGGCCTCGTGGCAGAAGCTGCCCCATACAGTGTCCCCACAGCAGCTGCTACTGCTGATGAGTGTGGGGCTTTTTTTTTTTAAGTGCAAAGAGGGCTGGGGCTGAGGGGGCAGCCATTGGAGGACTGGGGGTGCAAGCAAGGGATGGGGCTGAGTGGGGCACCCATTGCGGGGGTCTGGTGGAGTGGGCAGGGGGTGGGGCAGCCATTGGGGGC